TCCACTCTTCCCTCGTTTGAGTTTGATCCACCAACAAGACGCAGAGAACCAGAAGTACAAACTAAAGTAATAAATACATCTCACAATACTACAAATTTATTCTATAAACTAACCGTCACAAGATACTCCAGCATCCTCATAGTGTCCACAGTTGTGAGTACTCAAGTGTGTGCAGTTTGTCAAAAACTCTTCTGTTCCTGTGCACTGAACATTATCCAGGAGGATACTACCAGTACCCTGACCAAAGTAGGCACTTGATCGAGCAGTTCCACCTGTCACAATATATCATTCATTGTCAAAAGGAATCAACTCACTTGTTCCCCAGCCTAGTTGTCTACACACTACTGCTGCATCAGGGGAGTCCCAGAGATCATCACAGACAGTGCCCCATGATCCACTATCACACACTTCCACTCTTCCTTCCCAATCATGTGAACCGTCAACAAGACGGATTGATCCAGTAGTACATGCTGTGAATAAATAATTTTTAACAATTTTAAGTAAACATTGTTGTATCAATGTACCACAAATTTTTCTTATTCATAATCATACATGTTCTTATGTTGTGTATTAATTTTGAGCTGATTTTTACAGATTTTTAAAGTTGCTAAAAAATCAAACCAAAGCCCCTGTACAGGGACTTTGGCCAAATTTTGTCAAAAGTATAAAAGTAGAAAATTCTCCATTTTTATAATTTCTTCTGATAAATAAACATGTTTTTAGACTACGTTAACACAGACATGTAAACATGTTCTTATGCTGTGTTTAAAGTTTGAGCTGATTCTGATAATATTTTGATTTTTATGAATCCTAAAAGTTGTTCCAAATCCCATGTACCCTATTGTAGTGCTTGTTCGCTCAGGAAGCTTGCTCACTTATATGCTTTGTGGGAAACCTTGCTGTAGGACAAGTTATTGTGTTAAAATACTTTTAATGAATTTATTTTTAAAATTATGTTTGCTTAGAAAAAAAGGTAGAACAACACAAAGTTTTTAAGACAATTTAGCAAAATGGTCAAAAGTGTCTCTTGTCTAACTATTATTTCAGGATCTGCGAATGTACATGGCTATTTTTAAAAAATTTTAAATCCAATTTAATTAGAATCAGCTCAAACTTGCTACATACATGTAACATAAAAACAAGTATATTCTCTCTTAGTTATTTTTGTGAAATATGGCAAAAGACCCTGTGCTATAGTAAAGGGACTTTGGCCTGGTTTCTTTACCTATAATAAACTGTCAATTGTTATCAGAATCAGATGTACATGTATATGTGTATCGGAAAAAATATAAAAATAAAAAACTTCCTCTTGTTATTTTGGTGAAATTTGGCCACAGCCCTAACCACCCTAGACTATTAACAGGGTGCCATACAAGGGGGTGGGATATCCTCCCCCTACTCTAAGTTCCCCCCCCCCTAAAATAGTCTGAGTAACTTAATGAATTGCTCTATACTTTCTGTGTTTCACTGTTATTCATTACACAATTGAAATAAGCTAGCAAATCATGTGTACAATAGTTTACGCCTCCACAGACAAACCAACTTTTAGTTAATTAGCGCAATATGCCAAAAGGAAACCCTCAAAAATATGCAATGTTACCGTTAATTTTCATTGTGTCCACCTACTACAATAAAAATCCTGTATGAATCCCTGATTAATTAATGCAGTAGCATTATTAAGTACAATTTACTCCACTTCTAAATGGCAGCCATGACTTTTGCAGCCTTACTATATAGTACAGGGACATTGGCCTAGTTCTTGCGAAATTCGTGAAATTCGTAAAATTTTAAATCAAAATCAACTCAAACATGCTATACCAACAAGACAAACGAATCCATCAATGCAAGCTACATGCACATGTATACACCACAAATTAACAATCTCATAAATCATACACTCACCTGGACCTGGACAAGTCACTCCGGCATCCTCTGAATGCCCACAGTTGTGATTTGAGGTGTGTGTGCAGTTTGTAAGAAATTGTTCAGTTCCATCACATGCAACATCATCCAATAGTATTGATCCATTTCCCTGACCAAAGTATGCACTGCTGCGAGCTGTCCCACCTAAAATTAATCACAAGAAACTACTCACAACATATCATATTAGCTAACTCACTTGTTCCTAGACCAAGCTGTCTACATACAACTCCAGCATCAGTGTTGTCCCACAAGTCATCACACACTGTACCCCACTTTCCATTTTGACACAGTTCCACTCTTCCCTCATTCGAGTTTGATCCACCAACAAGACGAAGAGAACCAGAAGTACAAACTAAAGTAGTATACATTTTGTTAACAGCACAAATTTATTCTACAAACTTACCATCACAAGATACTCCAGCATCCTCATAGTGTCCACAGTTGTGAGTACTCGAGTGTGTGCAGTTTGTCAAAAACTCTTCTGTTCCTGTGCAATGAACATCATCCAGGAGGATACTACCAGTACCCTCACCAAAGTAGGCACTTGATCGAGCAGTTCCACCTGTCACAATATATCATTCATTGTCAAAAGGAATCAACTCACTTGTTCCCCAGCCTAGTTGTCTACACACTACTGCTGCATCAGGGGAGCCCCAGAAATCATCACAGACAGTGCCCCATGATCCACTATCACATACTTCCACTCTTCCTTCCCAATCGTGTGAACCACCAACAAGACGGATTGATCCAGTAGTGCAATCTGTAAACAAAAATAACTTCATAATAATTATTATTCTTAAATAAAATTGATCAAAATTAGAGTATTATTATATTTTTAGTTTTCATGAATTTATTTACTAAAGTAGACTGTATGTGTACAGTATCATAGTTTGAAATGAATATAAAAACTAGAACCAGCCATAATGTAGTGACACATGTAAAAATACTACATTAACACAAATAAAATATAGATCTATAGATCTACATGTATAGTACATGCATAAATAAGTTGTGCTACTTTAACATTGGATTGTTAGTGTTTGGCCCTATTATAATTTCATATTGATACAGTAACAATACTAATGGCAATGATGACCTACATGTAGATAGGAAAAGACCCACTACAGCCATTACATCTACATGTCTCAGTAGGCAGTTCCTTTTTTCTACTTCAAAAGTATATATAGCTAGTGTTTATAATTGGCCAAAAAACAATAAAAGAAAGCCTCATAAGTCTTTTCTATGGTTTTTTCAAACTACAAAAACCACACCCACAAATAAGCATCATAATATAAAATATCAGAGGAG